TTGACACGTACTGTATGTATCTATGTAATACTATGTATTATGCATGTGCGTAACATAATGAAAGTCAGCACAAAACGTGTTTTTATGCGATCGACCAAATGTTCGATCGTTTCATAGCAATTGACGGAAGTGCATCCTGTATAGTTTCGTCCACATTTTTTATTTTGTAGTTTTTAGCACATGTTACATAAGATTGCATATGATTTCGACATTTCTGCGAATTTTGATTATTTCATAGCGAATAACAGAGATACTTCTTGTCGTCAGTCTATCAGTCTATGGCGCAATGTGGAAGAATCAAAGCGGAGAAAGGCGATCGGGTAAAATTATGTACGAGTATTGGTTTGAAATCGCTAAAAAAAAATGTAAACCGTTGCGTTTCATTAAATTGTCACACAATTTAGCTTAGGAAGAAATGCAAACAAATAACTTTCTGTTCAGTTTTTCTTCTTTTTTAGCACTCTGAAGCGTTTAGTTTAGCTGCCGGCAAAAGCCATATACATTTAGTTTTTCTTAAATTCATTTGAATTAATTTTTTTTTTTCGTTTCAGAATGTACTATGTACATGTATTTATGTATTTTATCGTTGAGAAGGATGTTTTAATTATACATGTGTATTTATTTTTATAGATGCTTTACAACATTACGCACAAAACGCATATAAACGCACAAGACAACGCACAACACGGACATGCAAAACGTTCTCAACAACACCACGGCACGAACACAACTAACTGTCCGCCGAGATCAGTTTGACAAGCAAACAACAATGGCAGGCAAGCAGGCGTTGAGCAGCTAGCGAAAAGCGTCGTGAAAATCTTAGTTGTTTAAAAATTTTCTTCTCATTATCATAAGCATCTAAGGAAAATTTAATGTGAGTGTTTAAAAACACAACCAAGAGCGAGAAAGAGAACTTGTTTTAGTCGGAGAGAGAACGTTTTGCGTGCTAAAACCTTATTTGAAGATAGATGAAAGTTTTCGATGGTAAAAATGAAAGGGAAAAGCAAATTGGTTAAAAAATATATTCTCAAAAGATAATCAAGCAGCTTCTGCAATTCACTTCCGACTGAATTTCAACCCCTGCCCATTTGAATTCAAAGCGAATTAGATTGAAATTCACTCGGAAGTGAATTGCAGAATCCGCCTGAATAGCGGTTCAGCCACGGTTTGTGCACTTGTGTCCAGACAATTTTTAGAATTTATAATGGACGATGCCAATTACAACTCGTTCATATTCCTGAAGACAATCAAAGAACCTTTCTAGTTTTAATTTAACTTAAGGTGGTAGCTACATTAGGGTAATAAGAGCTTAAAAGTCTCCTCGAGACAAGACAAAACACTTATACATACATATATCCAACTTTAAGATTCGCCTGTAAATGCCGAAGATATGGACAAAAGTTTAAAAATGCGTAAAAATAGAATCTCTAAACTTTGTGCAAAACTCTGGAAAATTTAACAAATTTGCATACTAATCTGCAACTTTTCAGATTTTTTAGAAAAATTCTAGTTAAGCAGTTCTATATCTATAACCCATTCAATTTTAGTTTAACAAAGTGCAAGTTCGAAGTTGCGAAAAAATCGTGTGGATTTTTGGAATTTTTGTGCGGACGGTCTCATTATTTTCCTATACAAAAAAAAAAAAAATCGCACATAATTTTATGGTAGAACCTGCGTGAAAAAAATTGCCAAAAATCAACACGATTTTTTAGTAACTTCAAACTTGCACCTTTTTATACCACTGTGTGAGTACAGCACGTCGATGTAATCGAACATCCACGGCACTTTTTGCACTTGACGAGTTTTAGTTATACCCGACTCTAGCGCTACCCGGCGGCCCTTTTTTGCGATAGTATTGCCCTCACCGTTACTAATACATGTCTCGAATATAAGCCAAATCGGAAATAATATTTTTGATGTATTATGGAACGAATTTCCGTCATCCCTTGTCAAATTTGGTTTGGAGACAAACCGGTTTCGGCGTTGTGCCATCTTCAGTGTCATTTTTCGTTCGAAATTTGACAAGGGATGACGGAAATTCGTTCCATAATACATCATACACCCACCCTGTCGGAAACAACAACAACCAAAAAGGAAATAATATTTTTAATAACAACTCGACTCCAGCGCCACCTGGCGGATCAAAATGTGAATCTAAACTATCCAGAGACCCATTCAAACATACACAAAAAATTTCTTTAAAATCGGTTCACTCAAACCCCTACTGCAGCAACTGTATGGAGGATGATGAAGTTGAATCATCACAACATCTGCTACGCACTCAGCTGCGCAGCCTTCGATAGCTTAAGGTGAGGTCTGATATTCACCGCCGATTAGCTTTTGGGGATAAATATTAGTGGCTTGCGGAGCTTTGATACCAGCGAAAAGTCCACCGCGAAAAAAATTAAATTCTTATATCTAACTTATAGGCTGGTTTGGCTGCTTTTTATAATGTATACTGGTTATGTTAACAGACACATTTTTGCCAAAAATGATCTCGTTAGGTGGCGCCAGGGTCGAGATATTTTGAAAAACTGTATTTATGCTCTGATTTGTTTCACATGGGCATGTTTAGTTGAACGTAGTAGGACATAGATTTGCAAAAAATGTTTTGCAATTTTGTAATCGAAGTCAAAATCCACTTCTGGTTATTGTAACGTAACGCCAACGCGTATGTTTATGTTTAAATTGCTACTCCCAACAGTATTTTTTTTACTGAATAAGTGGCCATTTAATTTTTATGCAAATCTAGAAAAACCCTTTTAAAATTTTGACTTTTTCAATTTTTTTTTTTACATTTTGCATATTGTATTATACACAATACAATACGTATATTAAGAGAAAAAGAAAGTCAGCAGCGAATAAATACTTAATTCAGTATGTGTACATTAGGGCGGGCAAATTTGTATGGGTGATTTTTTTGACTTTGCGTGTATAGCACAGAAGGATTCTACATGTAATTCTAAGGAAATTTGCCGAATAAACCATGGATCTAAAGTCAATTTGAAGTTTGCCAAATTGCGAAAATAATTTTCTTAGCATTTTGCTGAAGTGACGTAAAAAAGTACTCAAATTTTGTATAAAAATATGCTCTTTGGGGTTTTTTGGTATGAGGAATCAATTTTTGCACTTGTATTTTTCTTAAAACTTTTCTTAAACATATTCTTCGAAATCTATTTTTGCAATTTTGTAAACTCCAAATTGATTTTAGACCCTTGGTTTTCTCAGCAAATTTGCTTAGAATTACGCGTAGAATCCTCCTATGACATACGCGCATAGTAAAAAAAAATTGATCAACCCTAATGTACATACTATGTGCATTCTTAAATGTGGGTATTGTAGAGAAGCTAATAAAATCAAAACTTCTTTGAGAAGATTTTATGAGAATTTAAGTGCACTTCTGCATGTAGTATGCATGTATTAGGGATGTTGCGAATGTCAAGTACTTTGAAGAAATAATATATTATTAAAAGGACTATGCTCCCATTGAAGTACGTCAGAGATCAAGTAGAAATGGGAGCTTGTATGACTGTCCATTGATATCTCGGTTATACAGTTTAAGGAAAAAATTTTAAGAAAAAATTTTAAAGACACTTTCACTTTCAGTTCTGTTACACAAATACTCCTATGTGCGTTGCATAAAATTTTGGCTACCATTTGTCATTTGGTTTGCCAGATATATGTACGTTTTATCAGTGCACTTGCACAACATTCGCATTCGCAAAAACTCCGAATGCGAAAGCGAATGCGAATGTTAAAATTAATGCGGTAGCTCCGCGGTTGCGAATGCGAATATTCGCCACAACCCTGGTACGTATTTATATATATAGGTATGCATGTATGTACATATGTATGTAGGTCACAAGGTGAAGAGAGCGGAAACCGCCACCGCAGTGTGATCGACAAAACGGAGTTCAAAGAGAGTGACCGCAAACTAAGTACAGTGGGCCATAGAAATAAACACAATAATACATATGTATGTACATATGTACATGCATGCATATACACTAGGGTGGTCCAAAAATGCATGTGAAAAAGTAATGTCGGAAATTTTATACTCCCACCCCCTATGATTGTTCTCTACCGAAAAAATATACCCCTATTTTATTTTATTTTGAAATCAAAAAATATTTAGAGGTCGCTCAAAGCGCCCAAAATTTTCCAGGTATTTTATATGGGAAAAAACAACTTTTCGTGGAAATGGTATAGAATTCTTAAAAGTCAATATTTTTCTATCGGAAAACTCTGTTTATCCCAGTAATAATACCCAATTGTTTATTTAAAAATTTTTTCACCGCAACTATAATTTATAGGTCCGCTAAAAACTCACAAAAACCCCGGAAAAAAACCAAAAGGGGCACCAATAAAAAATCGTTAGTATTAAAAAATGGTTAAATAAATAATTGGGTATTATTACTGAAAGACNCTTTTCGTGGAAATGGTATAGAATTCTTAAAAGTCAATATTTTTCTATCGGAAAACTCTGTTTATCCCAGTAATAATACCCAATTGTTTATTTAAAAATTTTTTCACCGCAACTATAATTTATAGGTCCGCTAAAAACTCACAAAAACCCCGGAAAAAAACCAAAAGGGGCACCAATAAAAAATCGTTAGTATTAAAAAATGGTTAAATAAATAATTGGG